ATCCTCCTCCTACAGGTACCCCTCCCCCAACAAACATTTTAATCTGTCACTTGGGCTCAGTTTGGGCGACTTGTTCCCGTATGTTCACGAACAGCTCGATTTGTTGTTCGTGGGTCGGCCACTCGAACACCGGAAACAAACAACCGGTTATCGCAAGCAACATGGCGGCGTCCATATACATTATTCGAGAGTTAAGGTTTGGATGGGCTGAATTCTTTTCTATATAAACAGGAACATTCATTTCTGTGTTACGGAAATAATTAATGTTAATTTTGCAAAACTTCCCATTGTCTACATGGTCTATGGATTTGGGAGCCATCTCTCTACTTTTTGCAGCTGTTCAAAAATCAAAATTTCACGAGTTTTCCGTGTGTTCCTGTAAAACACTGACGAGGAGGTGGTGAGTGATCCTGTTCCGAGAACAGTGTTCTTAAGTCGTGTTCCCGCTGTTCGAGCGTGAGAACAAGAAACCTGTGTCAAGAACAGGCCGCCCGAACTCGACCTTGGAGTACCCCCCATCCCTTACATTTTTCCCTCATACTGTACATGTACATTTGTATGTGTCTAAACACTGTCTATACACACACACATGTACATTACAGGAGTGCTCAGTACATATGTACTGTATGTACTACAGGGTAAGTACACAATACAACTCAAATTGTTAACATTCAACTTTTGTAATTTTTTCAATAAGTTTCTAAGCATTAGGGCCATAAGAAACTATTTAAATACTGATGGAATTCCAAGAAGAAGCAAACAAGCACTCAATGGCACATTTTAACACCTATGGACCTGCAAGGAAAAAGTTTAACATTTGATAGCGGACGGACGGACAGAAGACAGAAATGGGTATTACATAGGCTCGCACTTGCTTCGCAGCTCGCCAAAAATGATTCAAACAAAACAATGTTGTAAACAACCGGGCTATTTACTCCCAAAATAATTCCAGAAGAAAGAGCTTGTTAAGGGTAATGACTGCACATACAGATTTAGGGCACACAGCGTAATGCAAACACCTGCGCAAGCATTAAATTTGATGTTGTCATGAGATCACACCAAGCACAAACAAAGGCATGAATATTCAATTTCCTATGCCTCAGTGCACAAAGTTTTAAGGATGTAGATTACCAGCGGCCGCAATTATAGGATAAAAACTGGACATGATGACATCATGATTTGGCATACACCTTCAGATGGTAGTCTATCCACGAATTGGGAATTGGCCTCAAGAAAAGGCTGAAAGTCAAGGGTTAAACATACAATGTCAATAAGCAAAAAGTGGAAAAAGAAGAAACATCTACATGTTCTATGTCTGTTTGCAATGGGCTTTTTGTATTCCCACGCTTTTAAATAAAATGTCCTGGCCAAGTGTGCATATGCTATCTGCAAAGTTTCGACCCAATTGGACACATACCTTAGAAGATATAGTGATTTACATGGTGCACCTTTATTGTCATGTGATTTGACACCTGACAAAGCCATTACATGATGTCAATTTTCATCAATAACGATTCCCTTTCTAGCTATCTGCAAAGTTTCAACCCAATGGGCATATACTTCAAGAGACAGGCTTTGAAGTTTGCACCTTAAATGCCATGTCAAACAGCAGTCGTCAACTCCAATTCAATTCAATTCAATATCAATCGCTACACTGCGCACTCACTTCTTCCACAGCCTTGTGTTAGGCAGCGACTCAAAGCTCTGTCATGAGATGCTGATATAAGAAACGATCTATAGTGGAAGCGTGTACTAAACACACAGTGTATGCATGGTTTTTAACCAATTAGTATGGCGTGCAAAGTTAACATTTAATAATAGAGATATCTCTACTGCGCAACAGAAATATCTCTATTAAGTTACCGCTTCTGAGGTCAGCAGGTCACCCTCGACGTTTTGTGTTTAAAAATCTATTATCTTGAGGTGTTTTGAATCATGTCTCAGTACTCGTACTCCCTTGGTTGTTTACATTAGGAAACTTTACATTATTAACCCTCTGGCTCAGTTAAACTTTGTGTGTTACGTTACAATGACCTTTCCGTTGACTCAGTGTGCGGGACCGGAAACAAAATAGAGATATCTCTATTAAAACAGGACGTGCAATAAAGATATCTCTATTAGGAATAGAGACATCTGAATACGCGGTTTAAATGTTAACTTTGCATGCCATTGATGAGACATGGATTTCAGAAAATACAGGGGTTTTATTGGCACACAACAGGCCGGGATCAAATTCAAATTACCTTGAGGGCAGCAGCAGAGAAGAGTGTTGAAAGTGTATGATTTTTGAATATTGAATAGGCACTTTAGTTTGTCACCAAGTCAATGTCAGTGGTAAAAAAGTGACAATAGTTTGCGTAGATTTAATCTCATATACAATTTCAAAACATAGCCTTTTTAGAGAAATAAAACCTGCTTAAAAGTTGGATTTTAACAATAGCTCTTTAACTCCTTCATGTTAATCAAATTTTTCTCTAGTAAATAGTCTGTTTTCTCTAATCTTTTCTTAAGTACATTTACATACGTATACATATTTATAAATGTATTTATATCTTAATTCACACTGATCACCCTGTTTTATCTCCTTCAGTCAATGTTCTAGGACTCGGTGCCTCTAGCTTTTTCCATTTTTACCATTGAGTAATACTGTCTGCCAACAGCTGAGTCAACATAAAACAGAGAAAGTGATAACCCCTATGCTCACTCTTTGTGAATTGAAGCTTTTACTATGAACCATATTTCCTTAGACCTGAATTGTCATGAATGAGAATAAAGTCACAAACAGCATGTCGACTGGACCATGGTCATTATGGAAAAAGGAATACTGTTGATGTAACCAAATGTGGCCTCAAAATCTATGTTCATAAACTGTAAATCTTCTTATTACCCATTAAAAATTCAATGAAATTCCATTTGCAACCTGATTTTCCCATTTTAAGGACATGTTTGACAGGAAATATAAACTTTTCCAACACACCCCATAAAGATTATATTTTCAAAATTGTAGTTGGCTCTATGATTTGATGACGTGATGATTTATGAGAACTCCTAACCTGTAAAAAAAATTTAATGTGAATTTTTCTAAGATTTGTTCAAAAAGACTTCTTTCTCTAATCTTCATTCCATGGTTCAACAAAGAAGGGAGATGGAAGAATTTGTTATTCCTCTATGGTTACACTCAGCCATGGCTCAGCTCATTACGTGAATCGCCAAATTGGAGCAGACCCGAGTTTGCCCAATGACAAACTCGGGTCGGTACTCACTGGTTTTGGATCAAGCAGTTTGCATTCCAATGTTACTTACCAGATCAAAGTTAACAACGTGTGAACAGGTGGTTTATGACGGCACTGCCTGTGAGTTTGCTGACAAAAAACCTACAAAAGTCTACTAGATTCTTACTGATACTGTATGGCATTGGGAAAAGTGCCAAAAGTTATTGAGTAAGCAACTTTGAATCATAAAAATAACCCAAATATATCCTGATAAATCACATAAAAAAATAAATAAATGACATAAAACAGTCAAACTTTGCCTATGCTCTCAAACAATTCCATTATTTTACACCATCAGCAGCTTGCAGCCAGTATGCCATGATTGACAGGGTAATGGTCACACTGGCCTTGGAGAAGTGGGTCCTAAGGTGATTGCTTATTTTATAATTACTTACTGCCATCCAGTCAGGATGAAATCGGAGAGTAGCATTCAGAGGTTTTGGCTAATAGAAGTTTCACATAATGTGATGTTATGAAGAGTGAGAGACGTCCATTTGTTTGTTAGGAAATAGGCCTAGGCTTACTTTTAAAGTTTATGTCCATGGGCATGGTAAACTTCTACAAAATCGCTTAAGTTGTGTCTAGACACAACATTCTTTCGAACACAATCTTTCCTTTCCATAATTATTTAGGGTTTTGTACTAAGTTACGTATTCAACTCATAGATGGTTCAACTTCAAGTTCACTGCTATGTTTACTGGTTTGTACCACAGCAGGCACAAACATCATGTGATGACTAAACGAATGCTCTCATATAAGTTAACTTACAAATGTAAGCTAAGCAAATGTACCCTATGGAGGCCAATATCTCCAGAACCCCAAGTCCAACGATAATGAAGAAATCTGGCACAGACCAAACCAAGATATGATATACACAAAAAGAGTTCACTCATCATGTTATCAAGTAATTTTATATTAATTTTGCTTTTATCTCACATTCATTCTTTTTTTTTTTTTCAAATCACCTGGGCAAAAATTTTTTTTAATTACTTTTGCAAGACTTTTGGTCAGCCAAGTTAATGTGTTGGTTGTTTGGGAATTTTGTAAACTCATTATGATGTCAACAAAAGTGTCGTTGTTCCATATATTACGAAAGGTCTAATCAACATGAAATTGACTGAATATACAATGTATAATTTTACTGCTGATCATATGTGTAACGTGATGGTACAATCGGTTAGTTAGACAATTATTTGTCAAATCCAACTGACACCATGGATATAAAGTTCATAAAGAATGTGTTCCTGGGTTTTGTATCTTCATCAGAGTTTAAGAGAGACCCTATTGCATAGGTAGTCCTAGAACAGTGTCTTGATGATGTCACCTCAAGTCCCTTGACACGCCTGCAACATAGAATTCTTCGCAGGACAATACTGGGTGAAACTTAGCATAGATTCATGTCAAGATGCTTTACATGTAAAATTTTGGTAGCGTCATCACAGGACTTTTATACATTGCTATTTTTCCCTATGTCCCATTCTGTTCAACGCATATTCTTAGTAAAACACGTAATTTTGAAGTTCTCTGTGCCCGACTTGTAGTAACAGCAGTTATTATCTACATGTAGTGTAGACATTTTCCTAATGTCCTAACGACACCATCAAAACTTGGCAGTTTTCAAAAGACATACTGGATGAGCCCCCTCCAAATGTGGAAAAGCCAATTATTCTGTCTACGGACAGACAATGCATCTTCTTTTCTATTTACTGTTTTATCTGAATGTCTTACCGTGAATTCCTTGCTTACTAGCTGCAACAACAGCTCCGCTAAAATCAGGATAATATTTGATGATGGGCTGCAAAGCTGCTTCACAGGCACTACTTGGACTCATCCCTTGCTTCATATTCTCCACAGTCCGCAAACTGTAATCCAATTTAACACATAAACTGTGCATCAGATTATATACACCCATGTTACATCCCCAATCATACCTGAACATACATGTACTGTGGCACTGACAACTTTCTCCAAGGTCGCCCCAGCCTCCTGACCAAACCCTTCGGTGAGCCCAGATAAGTGGCTATCCAGGTAAACCTAGGTGGTGAGTCAGTTTGGAGTGCCGTATGCTGCCAGCACGTGCTGCTCAGTCTCTCTTCAGGATGGACACCTAAGGAGACTAACACAGTCTACTGACTGGGGGTACTGTGTAAACAGCTACTAGCACTGGTAGCTCGCTGCAAGTACACTTTTGCGCTACAAAGCCTCACCCTCATGTTCAGGCCGTCCTCGGTCTTAAAAACTGATACTAACTTAAAAAGTAAAAGATGTGCTTGATCCCTTGATATAACTGCAAATCTTCTTCAGGTAACAACCCAAGGTGGAGGTTGGACAATGAAAAAGAGCTCAACTTGAAGTTCAAGTCATGTAGTCACTTAATACAAAAATAACATGGAAACTAACAGTTCACATGTTTTCTCAAAACAAAAAGGTTTACTTGATTAAAAGGTCAAAAGGTTTACTTGATTAAAGTTTAATACAAAAAAAGGCTCTGAATTTTTAAAAGTGTCACAAAATGATTTCAGTAACTTGAAGCCCAACTTAAATAAAACAGCATATCACCCTTGAGGCCAGGCAACAAAACTTAAGGTTCAGTTCTCAAGGTTCTTGAAACAAGATGAAGCACTCTCGATGGTAGCTACTGCATCACAAAACCTGCAGTGAAGTTGACATTGTAGGTTCTCTCAATAACTTCTTTGGAGACTTTCACACCATTCTGGAACCTTGATAGGGTATGCACCTCCTTGACATGACGGACATTGCCAGACAGCATTATTTCTAAGGCAGGGTTGCTGATGGGTACTGGATGATGTTCCCCTCATTTATTCCCACTGATCCTGAAGACTCGGGCAGAGACTGGTTCAAGAGATGAGGTACTGAAAGTAACTTCAGTTGCAGGGTACTTCTTTCAAGGACCCGCCAAAAGCTAAGCTGCGGGGAAGATGCTGCTGCCTCTGCATCACTGCGGAGCACAACATGCAGATCTTTCTTGTCCTCACTGCCATTCTCCTTCCTCGGATTGTGAACCATGGACATCATTCCCTTTGGTTTTCCACCAGATCTGGGTTCAGTGGACTGCAGCTGTTGGCTCAGGCACTGATCAACTAGACATCAAGCCTGGGGAAAGAGAACACTCTGTCACATCCTGTGCCTCCAACCTTTCAGGAGCTGAAGGTTCCGACCACTCCCGGGCAGCCTCTGTTGATGTCTCCCATTCCCTGTTTCAGACTCTTTTACCACTTTCTGTTGTTTTGACTTTGACTTCCCTGGGTCCTGTGTTGTTTCCGGTGCTCGGCGCTTCTCAGGGTGGTCCTGCTGTCACTCCTTATCAGCCTGCTTAGTCCCTCTATTAGTCTTCCCACGTCTGTGTTCCTCTTCAGTTTCAGGGTAGATCTTTGGCAAGCCGTCCAGGGATGATGGATGGTGGTTTTTGTAGTACACCCTTAGGTTATCCTTTCGTATGTAGCCCTGCTCACACTTCAGGCAGTAGAACTGAACCTGCCCCTCAGCTCTATGGCTCGCCATATGTTTGTCAAACCTCATCTCGTTTACGAAAGTGTCTCCACATTCTCTTCAGCTTAGAACTCTCGTTGTATTCCAATCTCTTGGTCTCTGCTTTTCTGTATTCCAGTCTCTGCTTTCTCGTCAGAAATGGTGTATGCCTCCAACCATGTGCTAAAATAATCCCAAATTACAAGAATGTATCGAATCCAGGGAAGGGTCCAACTATATACCCATAGCCACTCGCTCAACAGGAGCCCCAACTAAGTGTTGTTGCAGAGGCGCCCTTGGCTTTTCACTCGGTGACTTCCTCATTGCACATGAGTCGCAATGTTTCACGAAGGATCTGAAATCCGCACTCAGGCCTAACCAATGGAACTTAAGGCCTTCCTCACTGGGAATTGGTCCCATTGCAGCCAGTAATTCTTTGCAGCTGTTAATTTTGGAGAAACAATCTCCTGATCCAGTCGTGTCCCTGACTCTTCCTTAGCTTGAATAAGCCAGGCCATCTGTTCATCCTTAAATTGTGCCTCTCTCCAATCATCTTTAGAGACTTGGGGCTGCATCCCCACTATAATAGTTGGTGGGTTGACATGGATGACAGGACATAGCTTTGACCATACTTTTATTTCTGCTTGGGTGTTATGCTGGCGGTGTTATGCAGTGCGCCCTCTGTTGTCTAATATATATCACATTCCCCCTTTTAAAATGAAAAAAAGGAATGAGGCTGTAGGTAGAAAATGCTATGAAGGTGTAATAGAGCAGAAACAAGAATGGAACTTTCAAAGCTTGTTTTAAACCTATAGAGATGTGTGTGTCTTAAAAAACTTTGATAACAGCCGATTAATAACAAAAGAAATGAACACACTTTGTGACATCTTCACAATCCGGAAGAAAATAAAATCATAGACGTTCAGTTTAGCCTTATATGGTTTAGTAACACCTAAAAACAAAACAAAACAAAAAGAATAAAGTGTGATGCATGACTTCTGCATTTATGTAACAAAAAAGAAATGTTTGAAATCTCGTTACATGTCCAGTGTAGTCATCTGCAAAACACTATTCTGGACACTCTTTTAAATCAAATATGAAAAAAATGAAAACAGGAGAAATGCAGAAATATATATTAACCCTTCGCACCGGGAACCGTTGACAGCCATAGCTTTGTGTGAGGATTAGTGCATACCACACATACATTTTACTCACCATGCAGCTACGGTTTCAATGGGGCCTGCTGCTGGACAGAGCTTTGCATATTGGGCATACCGCAGCCCAGCAGTTGAGGTCAAAAGAATCCCGGTGTTAAGGGGTTAACAAAATGACATTTGAGGATGGAAAGGTTCACGTATGTATCTGTCCACAGTTTAAAGATTCAGTTTGTTTGATGGTCAGATATGTTGACCCGATCCTGTCACAGGGGTGTCTTGTGCATGTCACATGCCTCTTTATCATCAGAGTGAGGGGGGTCAAGAGCAAAGATGATATACTTTTTTGCAGGGTCAAAATCACGAATATGACAAAGATTGTGGCGGAGTTCATGCCCATTGAGTGTAATGACAACATACGAACGTGGTTGCAAACACTGTTGTTTAATCTGGGCAGGTATTCATAACCCAGTGTTTGGATCCTGGACACAGACAAGCTGACCAGTGTTAAATGACTTCAGATCCTGGGCAAATCTGTGGTGATATGCTCTCTGTTGCGTTTGTCGTTCTTGAAGGCGCTGGTAGACCTGGTTCTTGTGATCCAGTGTGTTTGTGATCACATTAGCCAGATTGGTGAGAAACTTCCGACAACAAAGCAGTTCTGCAGGGCTTGGCAGTTTTTTACTGTCAACTGGGGTGATTCAAAGGCATAAGACAGCCTTGCTGATGTTTTGTCCACTGGTCTTGGCCTTGGCTACTGTGCACTTGACAGTCTGAATCATTCTTTCAACAAAGCCATTTGACTAAGGAAAATGAGGCGACAGTATCTCATGTTGAAATCCCCATTCCTCAGCAAATGCTTTGTAAGCTGTAGATGCAAAATGTGGACCGCTGTCACTGACAATCTTTTCCGGGCACTCCTTGCACAGAAAGGATTTGCTGAATCACATCGAGAACAACACGCTTGTGCAATTCACAGGCATTCCGTGAACTAAAGAAACTAAGAGTCAATCACCATGAGTTATTCATATCCGTCAAAGTGGAACAGATCAGTTCCAAGTATCTGCCACAGTCGAATTGGTAGCTCATGCAGAAGTAATGTCTCTTTACCCTGTGACCACTGATGCTCCTAACAAATTGAACACTAACTGATGATACACTCTATGTCATGATTCAAGCTGAACCAATATAAGTCTTTGGCCAACGCTTTGCTTAAGTTGCACTTTGGTGGCTTTAGCATATAGGTATGCACGGTTGCAGATGTGATGACATGCCATCCCTTCATTAGGATGTCATGGGCTTTCGCGAGCTCATCGCGAAATGACCAATAGGGTCTGAAAGCAGGTAGGAGATAACTCTTCCAATCTGGCCAACTGGGTATGATGAGTTGCTTGAGATCGTCAAGGAGTGGGTCACGTTAAATTTCATGTTTGACATCTGCAAGGTGGTCGGCAGTGAAATGCACAAGGTTTACCTGAATGTCCAGTTTACATGTGTGTACCGTCAGTAGTCGGAGAGCGGGACAAACTGTCAGCAATTGGAACCTTCTTGTCAGGGGAATATTGGAGAGTAAAATTATAGGGCTGAAGGCACATGAGCATTCGCTGGAGACAAGGTGGTGCAGATGTGAGTGGCTTTTGATGGATCATCTGGGGAGGTTTATGACCAGACTCAACACTAAAATGTTTACCATAGACACATGTATGGTAGCGCTCACAGTGCTACCAAAACTTTTGCTAACATTTCTCGCTCAATATTCGCGTATCTTGTTTCAGCTTCACCAAGTGCCTTGGAGGCAAATGTACCTGGCTCACCCTCCTGCAACAGGATTCCACCTAAACCACGGGACGATGCATCAACCTGAATTGTCATGGGCTTGTTAAGGACAAAGTACCACAATGTAAGAGAGTTGCATATCAAATTGTGAACTTTCTCAAAGCACTCTTGGTGGCCTGGAGTCCATACATAGAGTCATTATGAAGCGGCTCACACATATCTCCTGTGTGACTTGCAAAATGCTGGATAAATGGACTGAGATATGTTACCATTCCGAGAAACTCATAAAGCTGTGTCTTGTCAGTAGGAGGTGGCATGGCCTTAATGGCATGAACTTTAGCTGGATCTGGGTGAACACCCTGCACATCATAGTCAATGCCAAAGAATTTTATCCACTTTTCATTGATTGAGCACTTGGTATCTCGAATTTGAGACTGTTGGCA